TGTTTTCCAGACTTACATGACCCCTGCATTGAAGTGATCATGAAACTGAAAGCCTAAAAGAGACAGCTGCTCACAGAGGTAGAAAACCTACAAGCTGAATTACAGGATACAAGACATCAGCTCAGAGCTTGTAGGTTCAGTGACCGATTTTTGGAAGGAGACAAGAAGGATGGAAAGACATTGTTTTTCACAGGTATCTCTAGTCATGCCAGCTTCTTGTGGTTAGTTCAGTTCTGTGCACATATACTTCCTGTCTCGATGACTCTAACTCCTGCCAGTGTGCTCATGTTGGTGCTGATGAAGCTAACGCTTGAATCTAGTAGACCAGGACTTGGCCTACAGATTTGGAGTGTCAAGACAAACTGTGAATGATTTAATCAGTAAGACCATTCCACCACTTGCCCACAAATTATCATTCCTGATACATTGGCCTGAAAGTGACGACATATATTAAGAAATATGCCCAAAGTGATCAAACAATCTTACAGAAAGTGCAGGGTCATTATAGACTGTTGCTAAATATTTATTGAGAGGCCTGGCAATTTCACTGCACGAAGCTATGACATGGTCCAACTATAAAAGCCATAACACTATAAAGTTTCTGTTAGGAATTGCACCCCATGGAGCTGTCACCTTTTGTGTCGAGAGCCTTTGGTGGAAGGGTTTCGGACAAAGTCATCACACAGCCAGGATTCCTTCAGCTTCTGGAACATGGGGATCTGATCCTTGCTGATCGCTGATTCCTTATTTCGATGACCTTGCTGCATGGTGCAGCTTGCCATACCAGCATTTACACGGGAAATCTCAGCTCAGCCCTAAAGAAATCGAAATGGAAGGAGGCTGTCACGGGCCAGAATACATGTTGAGAGGGCTATAGAAAGAGTAAAAACTTCAAGATTCTGAGCACCACCCTGAAGATCAACCTTGTGCCTCATTTTGACAATATTATGACTGTATGCAGTGCTCTGTCAAATCTTCATCAAAATTTGCTGTAGTGTAATCTTGTTCATAAATACTTATTGTGTTGGTTTACATGACTATGAGCAATGGGAATGTAATTTGTAAGCCAGTCAGTAAACAAATAAGGCCCAATGTTCCTGATATCTATTCTGATTTAGTTTAAGATTTTAAATGAGATATTTGGTAACATATTGATTTCAGTAATTGTTTTTCAAATGTTTAAATTAACAACAAACACAGGATTAAATGGCAAATATAGTGTGTATTCTTCCCCATTTGAAACAGTCTTCATTTTATGTACAGAGATCAAGCATGTTTGACACATAAAAAAATTGCATTTGTCGAATGCATCTTGTGAAATGAACACGTTATTTAATAGTACTGTCATACATCTTCCTACTGAAGATTGACATGTAGAAGTCTACTGAAAACAATACATTTTGTGTTGAAATGTTCGAAATATACAAAAAGACTATGATTGTCAATACAATTTGCTTGACAACATCTGAATGTTTTGTGATTGATACTGTGATGTTTCTTCCTACAGAAGATTGACATGTAGAAGTCTACTGAAAACAATACATTTTGTGTTGACATGTTTGAAATATACAAAAAGAATATGATTGTCAATACAATTTTCTTTGACATCATCTGAGTGTTTTGTGATTGATAACACAATTGAATTAAACATTACAAATATAATAACAAAATGATATGAAGATACATAAATCAGTTTTTCCCTCTGGCCTGGTTTTTACATGACAGAATTTGTGTGTCGAGATGGCATGTCTCCACAATCAATTAATGACTCGCATGGTCAGTAGGAGGGGACATTTATAGTGTACATGCATATACACTTGACATATTTGTAACATAGTACCATTGTAAAGACATGTCTGCTAATCCAACACATGTCAGCCATTTGACAGTTAACCTTTAAATGAAATTTTAGTTTGGCCATGTTAATGGTGAAAATTTTGCTAAGAGGTTACATAGCTGCACTTACACATACTTCGAACAAATTTCTTATGTTCTGACGAAGGGATTCCTTCTGAACATGTATGAAACTTTATCCCATGATACAACTTGGACAGTACCAAGAACCCTTTGGTTTCCTTCTAATGTTGACACATTTATAATGGAACCAAGTGTACGAACAATTGGCTCCCTCACACATGATCATGCTTAACCATACTCCTCCTGCTGGCATAGGCACCATATATCTGAATTACCAGTGTCTGTAACAACATCGCTTCAAACAAGGCTTTGCATTTTCAAGTTTCCTTGAAACAATTTCCGCAAAATGTGTTTAAAGAAAAATGTGTCACCTTTGCTATGAGAATTGAACAAAACTCATCATCCCTGGGCACACGGACTATTGTCATGTCCTTATTTGTAAAATGACAAAGTCACAGTAGGTTACATCATGCACATACATTTGAAGCTGCACTTGTGAGTAATATTTATGTCCTTTCTTGAGGTGTAAGTCCTTGTCCAGGCAAAAGGTCTTATCATTTACTGCTGTGGATATGTCATGGTCCCTGTGCTTGTATGGACACTTTATCTCTAAGCATCCATTACCACAACACTTGCACATAACAGTGCCATCACTTGATGCTGCCATGTAAGGTTTTGCAAACTTATCAGTAACCCCACTGTTCTACACGCTAAACTGAGCATGCTGTGTTGTCTGATGTTTCTCAGATACCGTTTACGTGGCTCTGGCCTCATTGTCACTGCCCCAGGCAACTGCAGCTTTCTTGGAGATGTCCTTTGTGTTATAGCCCATTACCTTCATGATGGTGTTCTTTGGATCTGTGGTCTTCTTCATCACCAAGATATCATGGGCTTTGGTTCCGTTATTCTTCCTTTTCGGTGTTCAAACCAAAGAGGGCTAATAGCTTGGTTCTTGGTAACTTCCTCCAAGTTGCTAATCTGTGCCGGTTCTCGCACTGATAAGAGTTCCACTGCTCCTCACAAACAGACTCGAGATTTTCATCAGTGATTCTGTCCTCACACACAAGACTTGTAATTGTTGGGGAACAAATGTGTCTCGCCATCTTCTTCAGCACTGTCGGTTTCTCTTCATCTAGTGGAGGAATACACTTCAAAAAGACAGCATTAGGGCATACACTTTTCAACGACTTAAGTGTTTCAATATCAGGAAGTGGAGCTTTTCCTGTTCCTGACACAGATGGAGTGTTTGCCTTCCGACGACGTCCAAACAGATGCTGAACCTCACACAGTGGGGTGGGCTGGAGCTGAAATAATAAGGTAAGAGTGAGCAACTGTGTGTGGTTTTAGGCAGACACTTCAACCATTATGCCACCCTCATTGCCAATATAAATATAACACTAATTGATAATGAATGTAAGTCCCTCATTTTCTATGGTTTTCATATGTAAAGTACATGATACTGAACAGTAAGCTAAATAAGTATATTATTTTATATGAAAAAGTGAGAGCATTACTTCTTTTCTGTAAGCAGCATTCCACTTGCACGCTTCACTGGTGCAAGCTTTTGAGGTTAATCCTGCCCTCACAGCTGCATCAACCTTGAACAGTAGGGCTGCCACATGACTGCATACCTCTCCAAGTCTGAAATATCCAAACAATATCTTTTTATTATATTAAAAATTATATAATCTGAGAAGTAGCTGTACACTTAAAAACGGAAAACACCTTTTGAACCATACAGATGAAATTGTATAATTTTATATAATATTAAAAAGTATTGAAGCAATGATATTGATATGAGAATTCAAAAGGAACAATGAAAAATAGAATCTGTTACAAAAATCCAACCATTACATATGGATCCTTTAATTTAGATCTGAGATATTTCAATCCTAAAAATACACTGTTATTTGGGTAAAACTGTTGAAAATTATAGGCAACTATATACAATAAAACCAACTTACCCAGCCATACACGCAGTGGGCACAAAACACTGTCCCTCAGATTTCTTGACACAAACCCATGGCTGATGTGGTTTGTCACTTAAGGCGCTGGGATGGAATCACCTTCGCCTTCAAAATGCAGTAAGGTGACTGGTCGCCAATTGCATTATAAAAAGATAGGGTAAACATGTCCACTTTCCACGAGTAAATGACGCTTTTAAGGATTTGTACTCAAACTGTCGTGGAGTGAATTGTCCTGGTGTATCCACAAGATAGAAATATATGTCCGTGAAATGTTATGGCCGGCCACAAAGACGGGTCGTCAACCCAGCCGCTCGCCAAACAATAGGGGTCTGGCAAACTACGAGTACCCTCACCAGATGTCAGCTTTGAAATATACCTCTCGCGGTCTTCAACAGATAACTTCAGCACATAATCTGACCATTGTTTAACTTCCATGCTACAGCGATTCGCATTGTTGTCGGTGGCCATTGTTGCCTTCTGCCTACCGGTTGCGCGCGCAACCTAGCCTCTTGATATCACTTCCGTAAACAACTGGCATTTCCTATAATGTATCAGTCCATATCAGAATGCAAAGCTATGCAGAGCAGTTTATTCTGGATATAGCGCTATATACGTTTTTCAATAGATAGATAGATATATAATAGATAGATAGATGCAGATAGATAGATAGATAGATAGACAGATAGATAGATAGACATATTGACAGATAGATAGATAGACTAACATGAAGATGGAAACCAGTCAGAAGCTCCTAACAGTACCACATTTCTGGTCAGCATAGGCTAGCAACTTTGATTCAAAATAACTCAATTAATTTCTGTAGGAGAAAAATTTCAATTTGAATCTGAAATTTAATGATTTTAGTTAAATTACAGTCTGTCTTCACAAATCGGGTAAAGGGATTACATATTAAACATTTACTGTGGTGGATGATACATTACAGTTACGATTCGTGTTACAGATCCATTACAATTATATACCCCGCATTTTTGCTTAAACACCTAAAAAATATAACTGTCACTGTATGTAAGTGCGTGTCAGTGAAGATCTGATTTGATGAGGAAAGTCCGACATTGTGGCTAATTACAGTAATCACGGGCGTTCCATGCAACTCACCTTCACAAACATGGAGACAACAGGGGTTGTTGCCGGTCAGTTATTAACGGACGGTCATTCTTTCTGTCCTTCCATAGACAATACACACATTTTTACGGTGATCATTACAAATAACAACGTTTCACATATTTCTTTCCACATACGACCTTGACCTTTTCTGTGAGCCCCCAGAGTCGCGCGGGGTCATAAGAATAGGCCACTTTAGTAGAGGGGTTGACATGAAATATTTCAATTCATTATATCCCGCAGACTCTGGCTCTCAACATATATATTACTGAAATATTGCTCAGATTACGTCAACTATTTATCGTTCTCTATTTGGCTAGGATGATGTCTTTTGTAATGATGAATGTTACCCATCAAAAAGGACGCTTCTACCCTTGAGACTGTCAAGTCCTAACTTTAGCTACGCTGACGTCATTTCCGCAGAGGAAGTAAAAATACGGAAGTGTATTCTGATATCACGACGTACAGATCCAGTGGGCAACATGGAAAAAAAGCCTGGAAAAACACATGGACGAAACGTGAGAATCAATTAGGCAGATTACACTGACGTGCAAGTTTCCTCATCACGATTAATTGCTTTATGAGTATGTGATAAGTTACTTTTTTTAAGGCGATAGAACGTCGGTAATACACTGTCCACACAGTACGGCATCAGGTGACCGACTGCTCGCCGCCTTCAGCAGAACTTTGAAAATACGTATCCGTTGTGTCATCATCTGATATCTCTGTCAAGCGACGTTTAATATATTTGACAAGATAGTATTTATCGTCTTCCTTACTGATATGCTAATAAGTGATGTTAGACTCTAAACATTTTCACGACAACTGTTGCAGACACATGTTTCTAGGCATGTGGTTGAACTCGAACCATAGGCTTCTGATAAACCATAGGAATTTGAAACAGTGTAATGGCCATAAAAATTAAGTGCTGAGTAGGATGAATTGGAACCACGGATCTCCTTTTCTAAGATCAGACCCCTCTCTACAGGAACTATTGATCGAGATGTTACCCCTTTCCTAACACACTCTGTACATTTCTCGGAGTACCTTTAGAATACAGCACGACAACTTCTCGTGAGGACGATCTCTGCCGTAGGTCACGTGTCATTAAGACAAGCAACCAGTTTGTGAGAACCCATCGGACGCGAACCAGCGACCGTCGGATTGTTAGCTTGACAGCTAACCGACTGAGCTACGTCCACACTGTTGCACAATGTGCAAATTTATCGAGTCATTCCTGTGACGTCACGGAAATGAACGGAAAGAGTCGAATAGGTCACGGACAATTACGAAGGTTACGGGTAGACTTGGTGTCTCGTGATTTTAATCTACGGACACCTGCCGAATGGACCCGATGCCATTTGGCACACTCGTCCCATTCCGTAATCTACAACATAACGTGCGGCTTCGAATGAGGCGATATGCCTAAAACTGAAAAGGGTTGTTGACGTCAGGCGTCACACATAGATTTCACGGTGCATGCATGAATGACGCGCTTTTATATAAATCGGTGATTTTGTGACAGAAAAGTGATGTAGGGAACACTGTAAGGATAATGTGGATCGCACTTAGGAACAAGGGAGACATGAGCATGTGTAGTGACGGCACGAGGGTGAGTTAGCCTTTGAATCATTACTGAACAAATGTTGCATGTGAAAGAGGCTTGAGTGCAAATTCCAGGCCAATTTCCATTAGCCCAAAATTTCTACATTAAACCATTTCATAGTGTACTTTTGACGTTTTTGATTTCCCGTTTTTGTGTGAAAAAAAGTATTAAAATGCAAAAGGAAAAACAACAAATGGTATTTACTTATTACACCGGACATGTACCTATTATATTGGATTAGGCCTCTAACCCTAACCCTAACCCTAAACCCTAAACCCTCAGCCCTAACCCTAACCCTAATCCCTTGAAATTATCCTAATAAATAGAATGCATTGACCGAACACGCAGTGTTAAAATGCAAAAGGAAAAACAACAAAGGGTACTCACGTATTACACCGGACATGTACCTCACCCTAAACCCTAAACCCTAACCCTAACCCTAACCCCTTGAATTAATTCAAATAAATAGAATGCATTGACCGAACCGGCACAAACATGACTGACGTGCCCAGTGTAATGCATTATTACCGCTTCGAAAAATAAAATACTAATAAAAAACTTTCTATGTAATGGTGCAAATTACTGAATGACAAAAATATATATGTAAATTTAAAAAATGCAAAATACAATAATACACAAAACATAACACCTCAGCACCCTGTAATACAAGTAAATATGAGTGTATTAGTGAAAAAAGAAAAATATTTCAAACTGGTGCTTGCAAAACATTGAGCATCCGCTGGTATGGTCTACTCCCATTAGTGAGAACTCACAGTTGTGAGATTCCCAGTTGTGAGACAGTGGAGTAGGTAAGTAGCAAAGAAAACACACCTTACTCCCCTATCTGATAGAATGGATTAACCCCAGCTAATTAGGGATTAAAGTAATTAACCTACTCAGGTAAATGGCTTTGAAAAATAAACACTTTGTGTAGGTAACTTCGTGATCAATATGAAAAGTGTCAAAATCTCCAAATATGGACCCATGTAAAAAAGTGTTTTATAATGACACACAAACATCATAATAACGCAAATCATCAAAATGTGTGAATCAAAAATCATAATGAAATATTTAATGAACTATTTCTTCTGTGTAAATATAATGATAATCTTTTTCAGTATTTCAGTATTTAACTTGTTCTTTATTGAAAACAATAAATGCTCTTTAATGCTCATTAATGAACTATGCCTCCTGCGGGTACTCTTCAGCAACAGGGCTGTTCCCACTTTCATCGTAGGGATGGGGTAGCACCACCTGTGTGCACTGAACCATTAATTAATGTGTCTCACAACTGGGAGTTCTCACAAATGGGAGGACACCGCTGGTATACAACTACTGGAAACTCTCAACATCGTTGGGCTTATGCAATGACATAGCTCGTAGAGATGAAACACCAGTGAGCGGAGCTTATACGCACTCGCTGAGCCAGACAACCGTGTTGCCATGCAGGCGTCATAGGGCATTGTTTCGAGAACATGCTTTCGAACAAAATCACATTACATTACGTAAAAGGGTATTATGACGTCTTTTTAAAGTTTGTGGTGCTGTATTCTAAAGGTAGGCCCTTTTCTCTTTAAATATTAGTTCAGTTAGATCTGCTACAGTAGGACCAATAGGGAACTCCTTTAGAATTCCGCACCACAACTTTCCACGCAGACAGTCTCTGTCGTAATCATGTGTGACTGTGTGATGTGTGATGGTTCATGTGTGATGGTTCATCGCGTTATTTTTCAACTTTATAAGTTGAATTTGCATTTTTTTATAATTTGTTACTGTAGGTCCATAACGAAAGGTATCAGAATCTGCAGAGTTATGTTTTGCATTGCATGTAAGCTCTAAGTTAATTAAATGTCGAAATGAGTAGTTTTAATGACAGGGTTTCATTTATAACGATGCCAATAAATGATTTACGTACAGTAAAATACCTTTGTAACGAACTCCAAGGGACCACTGAAATTAGTTTTTTATATCCTTAGTTCACTATTCACGAAATTCCATTGAAAGGACAATAAAGACATACTGTACAGTACGATACATTCCTACTCAGTTTATTCATTCATTCATACGACAGTTACATTCGTTTCCCTACAAAGTCTGTGATCTTACTTTGTCTACGCTTGGCCGACAGTTACATTTGTTTCCCTACAAAGTCTGTGATCTTACTTTGTCCACGCTTGGACGACTGCATACGTGCAACAGACTCATTCAAATCGGCAAGTGAATCAAATGAAGACATATCAGTTGTCTTCTGTGAAACTAGAAAGTTCTTCAATGTTTGAAGCGCCATATTGGCATCGGCAAACGAAGGAGGGGCCTGGTCTGTTTCATCACTGTTCATGTCATCATCATCACATTGGGAATCAGCTCCGGACATTCCGTCGTTATTCACGACGTTAAGTAATGTTCACTGAGACGTCCTGGGATTGCAAATCAGTTCGCTATACACTGATTTCAAAGTGAGCAACGCTAATTGGCAGTGACACTGATTGAGTTCACTCAGTTTGTTATTCACACCGTTAATTAGTGTTAACTGGGATTGCAAATCAGTTCGCTATAGCCATTAAGTTCGTTATAGAGAATTCGTTATTCACAACTTTTTTATATGATAATATACAGAGGTTTATTCGGGACTTTTAAAACAGTTCGCTATAGCCGTCAGTTCGTTATATCCGTGTTGGTTATAAAAGTATTCTACTGTATTTGTACCCCGCTAGAGTATATGTGATCTTTAAATACAAGTTCCAGGACAATTTCTATGTGCTCAAATTTTTCACATTAAACCATTTCATCTTTCAACATTTTGGGTGTAAAGAGTAATAAAAATGCGAAAGCAAAAATATGAACACAATACCTGACAAAAGCTTTTGCTCCTGTCCTTTAAAAATACATGAGGAGGTAAAAAAACCTTCAACCCCCTTGTCTTTCTTGTCAGCTCCATTCCTGTGTAGTGATGCAAATTACTGAATGAAAAAAATATATATGTATATTAGTTCCCATTTATGTTCCATTTAGTCCCATAGATTAAGTTAAAAGCGAAATATGAATTATGTTTAAAATAAAAGTGCTTTCATAAACTGGCACTTATTATAAATTGATCTCTTGGGCTTATTCAGTCACACTGCAGAACACTGAGAGGACCTTAGGCAACCTGGATCACCCAGCATCAGTCAAACATCACAGAGCATTGTTTTTGGTAACAAAGTTTCACAAATTACATCATAAGGTATCTAGGTGTAATTTGTAAAGTTTGCGGTGCTGAATTCTAATGGTAGGCCCAGATATTTCTTCAAGACTTGTTATAGTATGCCCAATCTTCATATGGTTAAGATGGCTGACTGTTCTCCCGCACACACACTTTCAGTCGTACGTGAGGTTCATGCACTTGGTGCTCTTCACCCATAAACTTGAGCTACCTCCCCTAAGTGTCTTTTTTGTAGATATACCACAGTTTGTAATATCCAACATAGCCCTGGTTCGAATGCCCACATAAAAAAAATTAAAACAGCCACATTCTTGATTTAAGTTATGTTTTGTATGTTTTACGTCTTTACTCAATTCGTGTCTCAGCTTGCCCTCATGGTTTCACTTAGAGACTGACCTGTGAGGTGTCCTTGACCTTGGCTGGCAGTATATGGTACAGTCCACATTGTCCTTCCCTATGGACTAGTCTGTTATTTATTATTATTTTTATGATTATAGGATATTTATATAGCGCACATATCCACGCACTAGTGCATGCTTAAGGCGCTGGTATTTTTTCCCTCGATCATTGGATGTCAACCTCAACGGCACATCGCATTATCAATCTCAACTCCCTGGGGAGTAAACAACTCTTGCAGCCACTAGGCGCACCGAGTTATTGTAACTTTCTCATCCTAACGAGGTACCCATTCACAGCTGGGTGGACTGGGACACATAGTCACAGTACTTTGTCCATGTTTACTGCACGTTGCTATACCCGCAACTAGGTGTTTGCACGTATTCATTAGGCCACCATCTGGTCATATACCAACGGATTCGTGGGTTCTTTTAAGTGCACAGGGTTGTGTACTGTACACTAGGGGTTGTGACAACACTGAAAGAGTCTGCACACAAAGTTGACTCCAAGGTTTTTACACCCGGTCACAGGTGGACTCGATCCCGACACCTCAACCTCGCTGGATCACTAGCCTGGCGCCTTACCCAGCTCGCCCACCGCGCCCCACAGCTCACACATATGATAATAAGAAAAAGGACATGTTAGTAATTATAGTTTAATTTATTAATATTCATATGTAAATTAAGATTTGTTAACTGTTGCATACCTTCGATGTGATTTGGGGGTGGGGAAGCCTAGTGGTTAAAGCGTTGGCTTGTCACGCCGAAGACCCGGGTTCGAATCCCCACGTGGGTACAATGTGTGAAGCCCATTTCTGGTGTCCCCCGCCATGTTGTTGCTGGAATATTGCTAAAAGCGGTGTAAAACCAAATTGAGTCTGTCAGTCGATGTGATTGTTGGTGCACATGACCTGGTTCAGGATGGACCGAGTGCTGCAGCCTCAGGCCCTAACAATAGAGCTCTGCACAGAGACTAGATATCAGGGGATGGGGCTTCAGTCCTAACAGTAGAGCTCTGCACAGAGACTAGATGTCAGGGGATTGGGCTTCAGCCCATAACAGTAGATCTCTGCACAGAGGCTAGATGTCAGGGGATCGGGCTTCAGTCCTAACAGTAGAGCTCTGCACAGAGGCTAGATGTCAGGGGATCGGGCTTCAGTCCTAACAGTAGAGCTCTGCACAGAGGCTAGATGTCAGGGGATGGGGCTTGAGCCCCTAACAGTAGAGCTCTGCACAGAGACTAGATGTCAAGGGATGGGGCTTGAGCCCATAACAGTAGATCTCTGCATAGAGACTAGATGTCAGGGGATGGGGCTTGAGCCCCTAACAGTAGAGCTTTGCACAGAGACTAGATGTCAGGGGATGGGGCTTGAGCCCCTAACAGTAGAGCTCTGCACAGAGACTAGATGTCAGGGGATGGGGCTTCAGCCCCTAACAGTAGAGCTCTGCACAGAGACTAGATGTCAGGGGATGGGGCTTGAGCCCCTAACAGTAGAGCTCTGCACAGAGACTAGATGTCAGGGGATGGGGCTTCAGCCCCTAACAGTAGAGCTCTGCACAGAGACTAGATGTCAGGGGATGGGGCTTCAGCCCCTAACAGTAGAGCTCTGCACAGAGACTAGATGTCAGGGGATGGGGCTTCAGCCCCTAACAGTAGAGCTCTGCACAGAGACTAGATGTCAGGGGATGGGGCTTCAGTCCCTAACAGTAGAGCTCTGCACAGAGACTAGATGTCAGGGGATGGGGCTTCAGCCCCTAACAGTAGAGCTCTGCACAGAGACTAGATGTCTGGAGATGGGGTTCAGACCCTAACAGTAGAGCTCTGCACAGAGACTAGATGTCTGGAGATGGGGTTTCAGCCCCTAACAGTAGAGCTCTGCACAGAGACTAGATGTCAGGGAATGGGGTTTTGGACTGCTGGTATAGAGGTCTCACTTGGCATGGTGGCAAGGAAGCAAGGATGGTATGTTTCTTCACAGAATACTCCATGATTTCACATGTCCGATGAGTCCATTACATACAGCTATCGCACAGAAGAATATTCTCCTTTAAGTTTTGATCCACTTGACATGTTACATGTGGCATGTAATGCGAGTGATGTGCTTCATGGCCCAATCCTGTCATCACGTTGATGCTGCCTTCACCTGAAAACTTGGATGTCTAAGAGAAGCTGTCATGCACCTCAACATTTCACTGGTCTTACGTTGATGCGTAATTGGAGTGTAATATGAAGTTATCATTATGTTGGATATCTGATTGCCTTATTTCCCATCAGTTTATCAATAATTTCTAGTTGAAACAGGTGGAGACACTGCCAGCAGCAAGAGGCTTTGAATTTTCTTGTTGCCCTCAATTCCTGGCTTCAAACGTTAAGGTGTGGCATTTGTACTCTTGTAATGAGAGTAATCTCAATTACATCAGTAGTGTTTGTGCAACAGTACGACAGTGATCCTGCTTATGCTCATTTGTTCCAACTTTGTTGTTTTGCTGATAGGTTTACACTGATTTTAAGGGTCAAGTTTGGGGGTCGGCTTATCTATGGGGTCGGCTTATAGACGGTAATATACGGTAATCAAAATATGGAAAGTCTTGGGTCACCATCATTTTAGGTTTTCCTCCCACGTGAGCCTGCCATGACCGAAGTACTGGTGAAAGCAGCATCGGATTCAAGCTGCTCACTCCCCCATCTCGGTACATGTCATGAGTAGCAGTGGTGACAGTCTTATCTTGAGTAGGTTGCATCGACTGATCTGTTGTAACAAAGATTGTGGGAACACCATAACCCATGTTTGAAGGAATCATGGACACAATTAATCTCTTCCACGAGGTGAGGTGAGGTGAGGTGAGGTGAAATGGGGTTTGACGTCGTACTTGAGATTATTTCGCTCATGTGACAGTTTTATAGTGCTAGGCTGCTAGCTCACTGAGATACCATGCCCCAGTTAAGCATGAATACCCCATTCAGACCCATTATACTGACTCTGAGCCGACCAGTCCTTGTTGTACCCATTAATGCCGAGCATAAGGCAGGGAACAACAAGTACCATATTTAATGTCTTTTGGTATGAAGCGGCTGGGGATCAAGCCTTTGACCTTCCACTCTCTGGGCAGACGCTCTATTTACCACTACACCACGGAGACGATCGCTTCCACTCTCCGGGCAGACGCTCTATTTACCACTACACCACGGAGACGATCGCTTCCACTCTCTGGGCAGATGCTCTATTTACCACTACACCACAGAGACGATCCAATCGCTTCCACTAGTGTATTTTATACTGTTGTCTCTGATTGTGTAGTACAAGGCATATATCTTGCAGAAGAACATGTACCTTGGAATATTACAATTCGTTTGTGTCGAATGAAGTTTTTGAAAGGCATTTAGAAGTTGGACGAAGATGTATTGAACATGAATACATGACGCTTTTAAAGCTAATTCTTGCTCCTGCTACTGAGAGTATTCACCTATTACCCACAAATTACTAACAACTGGGTAAGGCTGATTTATTGCATATATGTAGATACACAGCTCAAGTGGAGCTCAGTTAATTGGTTTAAAATATGTCATTTTTTCCAGGTTTAAGCTGCCTGGTGTTGCTGCAGTGCTGTGCACCGATGGACATGGGCTCTGTCTGGGTGGTGAGTCAACATCTTTACACGACACGACCTACACAACTCGGTGTGCATCACAGGAACTGATTGTGTCAGGTGAACTACACAACTCGGTGTGCATCACAGGAACTGATTGTGTCAGGTGAACTACACAACTCGGTGTCCATCACAGGAACTGATTGTGTCAGGTGAACTACACTGTGTCTCATCACAGGAACTGATTGTCACACAACTCGGGTGTCCATCACAGGAACTGATTGTGTCGAGGTGAACCACACAACCTCGGGTGTCCATCACAGGAACTGATTGAACTAAACAACTCCTCGCGCATCACAGGAACTGATTGTACGTGAACTACACAACTCGGTGTGTCCATCACAGGAACTGATTGTGTCAGGTGAACTACACGACTCGCGTCCACAGGAACTGAGATTGTGTCCAGGTGAACTACACAGCTCGGTGTCCATCACAGGAACTGATTGTGTCAGGGTGAACTACAGGAACTGAACTGTCAGGGTGTCATCATTAGCCACAGGAACTGATTGTGTCAGGTGAACTACACAAGAACTGATTGTGTCGCATAATAACCCGTGTGTCACAGGAACTGATTGTGTCAGGTGAATCCACATCCACAGGAACTGATTGTGGCCAGTGAAATTACACAACTCGCGTCCATCACAGGAACTGATTGTGTCAGGTGAACTAATCAACCTCGGTGGTGCATCACAGGAACTGATTGTGTCAGGTGAACTACACAACTCGGTGTGCATCACAGGAACTGATTGTGTCAGGTGAACTACACAACTCGGTGTCCATCACAGGAACTGATTGTGTCAGGTGAACTACACTGTGTCAGTCACAGAAACTGATTGCATTGAACTACACAACTATTGTGTTTAGGATTTGGTTTCCTTGTAACCCGAGAGTAAATGTTTTGTGTTTCAGCTAAGGGTAGTGCTCCCAAGCAGGCCTCTGGCCCCATCGCTACATTGGCCGCCATGGCAGGTGACTTGTGTCCCACCAACACCACCAGTCCAGTTGTGTGCATCGAGTCTGAAGCAGGGTAAGCTTGTGTCAAGGATGAGAATCTTACCAAACATCATCTTAGTCTCACATTGCCGTAATTGCATCATAGCGAACTCTCTTGGTATGGACATGATGTCATACTGGTAACTTGAGGAACTGCAGATAATTCTTTGGCTGTGACAAGCCTGTATGCATAATATACAATCCTATATACTCTCTACACATCCTATATACTCTCTACACATCCTATATACTCTCTACACATCTCTACACATCCTATATACTCTCTACACATCCTATATACTCTCTACACATCCAATATACTCTCTACACATCCTATATACTCTCTACCCATCCTATATACTCTCTATCGATCCCATATACTCTCTACACATCCTATATACTCTCTACACATCCTATATACTCTCTACACATCCTATATACTCTCTACACATCCCATATACTCTCTACACATCCCATATACTCTCTACACATCCTATATACTCTCTACACATCCTATATACTCTCTACACATCCTGTATACTCTCTACACATCGCTACACATCCCATATACTCTGCACATCCCATATACTCTCTACACATCCTGTATACTCTCTACACATCCCATATACTCTCTACACATCCTATATACTCTTTACACATCCTATATACTCTCTATACATCCTATATACTCTCTACACATCCCATATATATCCTATATACTCTACACATCCTATATACTCTCTTACACATCCTATATACTCTACACATCCTATATACTCTCTACTCTCTTACACATCCTATATACTCTCTACACATCCCTATACACATCCTATATGCTCTTACACATCCTATATACTCTCTACACATCCCATATATACACATCCCATATACTCTCTACACATCCCATATACTTTCTACACATCCCATATATACTCTCTACACATCCTATATATACTCTTACACATCCCATATACTCTCTACACATCCCATATACTTCTACACATCCTATATACTTTCTACACATCCTATATACTCTTACACATCCCATATACTCTCTACACATCCCTATATATCTCTACACATCCCATATACTCTTTTTACACATCCCATATACTCTCTACACATCCCATATACTCTCTACACATCCCATATACTTCTACACATCCTATATATACTCTCCTACACATCCTATATACTTTCTACACATCCTATATACTTCTACACATCCCTATATACTACTCTCTACACATCCCATATACTCTCTACACATCCCATATACATCCTTTCTACACATCCCATATACTTCTTACACATCCCATATACTCTTCTACACATCCTATATACTCTCTACACATCCTATATACTCTTACACATCCTATATCCACACATCCTATATACCTCTACACATCCTATATACTCTCTACACATCCTATATATACTCTCTACACATCCTATATACTCTCTACACATCCTATATACTTCTACACATCCCTATACACATCTACACATCCCATATACTCTCTACACATCCCATATACTCTCTACACATCCCATATACTCTCTACACATCCCATATACTTCTACACATCCTATATACTCTCTACACATCCCATATACTCTTTTACACATCCTATATACTCTACACATCCTATATACTCTCTACACATCCCATATACTTCTACACATCCTATATACTCTTACACATCCCATATAATTTCTACACATCCTATATACTCTACACATCCCATATACTCTCTACACATCCTATATATATACTCTCTACACATCCCATATACTCTCTACACATCCTATATACTCTCTACACATCCTATATACTCTCTACACATCCTATATACTCTCTACACATCCCATATACTCTCTACACATCCTATATACTCTACACATCCTATATACTCTCTACACATCCCATATACTCTCTACACATCCTATATACTCTCTACACATCCTATATACTCTCTACACATCCCATATACTCTCTACACATCCTATATACTCTCTACACATCCTATATACTCTCTACACATCCTATATACTCTCTACACATCCTATATACTCTCTACACATCCTATATACTCTACACATCCTATATATCCTACACATCCCATATACTCTCTACACATCCCATATATACTCTCTACACATCCCATATACTCTCTACACATCCCATATACTCTCTACACATCCCATATACTCTCTACACATCCTATATACTCTCTACACATCCTATATACTCTCTACACATCCTATATACTCTCTACACATCCTATATACTCTCTACACATCCTATATACTCTCTACACATCCCATATACTCTCTACACATCCTATATATATACATCATATACTCTACACATCCTATATACTCTCTACACATCCTATATACTCTCTACACATCCTATATACTCTCTCTCTACACATCCTATATACTCTCTACACATCCTATATACTCTCTACACATCCTATATACTCTCTACACATCCCATATACTCTCTACACATCCTATATATACTCTCTACACATCCTATATACTCTCTACACATCCCATATACTCTACACATCCTATATACTCTCTACACATCCTATATACTCTCTACACATCCTATATACTCTCTACACATCCATATATCTCTCTACACATCCTATATACTCTCTACACATCCTATATACTCTCTACACATCCTATATACTCTCTACACATCCTATACTCCACATCCTATATACTCTCTACACATCTATATATACACATCCCATATTCTACACATCCTATATACTCTCTACACATCCTATATACTCTCTACACATCCCATATACTCTCTACACATCCTATATACTCTACACATCCTATATACTCTCTACACATCCTATATATATCTCTTACACATCCCATATACTTCTACACATCCTATATATACTCTCTACACATCCTATATACTCTTACACATCCTAAATATGCTTCTTACACATCCCATATACCTCTACACATCCTATATACTCTCTACACATCCTATATACTCTCTACACATCCTATATACTCTCTACACATCCTATATACTCTCTACACATCCCATATACTCTCTACACATCCTATATACTCTCTACACATCCCTATATACTCTTCTACACATCCTATATACTCTCTACACATCCTATATACTCTACACATCCTATATACTCTCTACACATCCTATATACTCTCTACACATCCCATATACTCTACACATCCCATATATCCTCTCTACACATCCTATATACTCTCTACACATCCCATATACTCTCTACACATCCTATATACTCTCTACACATCCTATATACTCTCTACACATCCCATATACTCTCTACACATCCTATATACTCTCTACACATCCCATATACTCTCTACACATCCTATATACTCTCTACACATCCCATATACTCTTTACACATCCTAAATACTCTCTACACATCCTATATACTCTCTACACATCCTATATACTCTCTACACATCCCATATACTCTCTACACATCCTATATACTCTCTACACATCCTATATACTCTCTACACATCCTATATACTCTCTACACATCCTATATACTCTCTACACATCCTATATACTCTCTACACATCCTATATACTCTCTTACACATCCTATATACTCTCTACACATCCTATATACTCTTACACATCCTATATACTCTCTACACATCCTATATACATCCTATATACTCTCTACACATCCTATATATACACATCTCTACACATCCTACACATCCTATATACTCTCTACACATCCTATATACTCTCTACACATCCCATATACTCTACACATCCCATATACTCTCTACACATCCTATATACTCTCTACACATCCTATATACTCTCTACACATCCTATATACTCTCTACACATCCTATATACTCTTACACATCCTATATACTCTCTACACATCCTATATACTCTCTACACATCCCATATACTCTCTACACATCCTATATACTCTCTACACATATACTCTCTACACATCCTATATACTCTCTACACATCCTATATACTCTCTACACATCCTATATCCTTCTACACATCCCATATACTCTCTACACATCCTATATACTCTACACATCCTATATACTCTCTACACATCCTATATACTCTCTACACATCCTATATACTCTCTACACATCCTATATACTCTCTACACATCCCATATACTCTCTACACATCCTATATACTCTCTACACATCCTATATACTCTCTACACATCCTATATACTCTCTACACATCCCATATACTCTCTACACATCCTATATACTCTCTACACATCCTATATACTCTCTACACATCCTATATACTCTCTACACATCCTATATACTCTCTACACATCCCATATACTCTCTACACATCCTATATACTCTCTTACACATCCTATATACTCTCTTACACATCCTATATACTCTCTACACATCCTATATACTCTCTACACATCCTATATACTCTCTACACATCCCATATACTCTCTCTACACATCCTATATACTCTCTACACATCCTATATACTCTACACATCCTATATACTCTCTTCTACACATCCTATATACTTCTCTACACATCCTATATACTCTACACATCCTATATATACACTTCCTATATACTCTCTACACATCCCATATATCCTCTCACACATCCCATATACTCTCTTACACATCCCATATATACTCTCTACACATCCTATATACTCTCTACACATCCCTATATACTCTCTACACATCCTATATACTCTCTACACATCCTATATACCTCTCTACACATCCTATATACTCTCTACACATCCTATATACTCTTACACATCCTATATACTCTTCTACACATCTTATATACTCTCTACACATCCCATATACTCTCTACACATCCTATATATACTCTCTTACACATCCTATATACTCTCTACACATCCCATATACACATCCCATATACTCTCTACACATCCCATATACTCTTCTACACATCCTATATATTTCTACACATCCCATATACTCTCTAC